AGACATTGTTTAGTAAAATTAGCGGTATTTGAAAAATCTTTATTGTGACTACAAATGAGCAAAATTTCAATATGTTTGGCATACTGTATTTCAAGACAATGTGTTTTTTAATAAAGAAATGGCGTTTTTTTAAATATCTCAAACTTCTTACACACTCTTCCAAATACGCCCAATAATATACCGATAACCAATGAATGGTTGATGAGCCAGCAGCCAAAAATTAAGAAATCTATATTTTTAAGTTGTGCTTGTACAGCTGTTTTTTTTATTCTAAAATGTACGGACAGCTGTACGCATGCTTGGCATGCACAGTTGTACACACCAACTGCTCATTTGTTAATAACTTTTCACTCAGGTGTTGAAATTTATTTTTCTTTAAAGTAATTGATAGATTAGGATCATAGTTTACTGTAGATATGCAAAGAGTCGCTAATCGCTAAATTTTAACATTTGAATCAATACCAATGAATTTTAACACTAAAATTCCGAGATATGCAGCGAGCATTTCTCATATCATTTATGTCAGACGATGTATGTCTTTTTTATTTTGTGTTCTGTTTACGCTTTCAATTGTATAGTTGAAGCAAGCATTTTATTTAAAACATTGTAGAACAATACAAACACTTGCCACGATTCTCTCCAATTCCCGTTCAGCAGTTCCAGTTATCGTACTATGAGCACTTCTTATTCGCTTTTAGCCTATCCATGTTCCAAAGCATAGAAAGAAAAGTGGAGAAAGCACAGGTCTGATAATCGCAACGTTCTTTTTTTTCGACATAAGGGAAAAGTTGGCTTCGGCAATACCTTAACTTATTATCGTCAGGGGGGTAAACAAAGTCTTAGAGCACTCAAATTTGGCCAATAGTTGCTCTGAAACACAATGTATCCACATGCCAAAATTGAGCCCTCAAGGACGTTGTTCCCCTGACGATAATAGGTTAAGGTATTGCCGAAGCCAATTTTTTCCTTAATTCATTTCACTCACTAATACTTTCCACATTGTTCGGTCTCCATTTTATTGCATCTCGGTATATCGCATCCTTCGTTCATGCGGTTTCGGAAGCAAATCTTACATCCTCCGGTTAGGCGTTGTTCATAAACATAAGCTGCCGATGGTATAACATGACAAACATATGAAAAAACCTTGTACATCAGCGATTGTACCATAGAGGTAACTCTAAGACTACTGGGTCCCGAAGAAAATCATTATTATTTTTGGCTCACTCAGTACCAGAACAACGGTCCCAAGCAGTCCCAAGCTATTTCACTCACCCCTGCATGTTCTGCATGAATCCACACACCCCTGATGTTATCTGTCAAACTTTCATAGCGAATCAAAACAAACATAGTGTAGTAATAGAATTTCAACTAGAATAGGGTACGTTAATCTTTTGCTTGGGACCAATAGGCTACTAAAGTGGTGAGCCAATTTAAAATCGTTAGTTTCGTATTGATTGTTGATTGTACTACTGCCATCGCTCTGGTTTTCGTCCTTGTCTTGCTTTTTATCGTCCTGCTTTTTGATACGATTATTTTTCAAGCTTCTGCTGATGTTTTCGAGCCTACCCCTTTGGACAGCAATGCATCCGGTACCCCTCCGCCTTACATAAGAAGAATTTGTCCTTCTTATTCTCAGAATAGAATATTTTCCTCTTTCGATCGATAAAATTAAGCGTGTACATGTCGAGGCTCAACTCCGCAAGGAATATCTCCGGGATGTAACGTTTCATTATCTCGTATTTTTCCAGCACCAATATCTATTTCTGGTGGTAAATCGTACACTCGTACGTATTGCAAGCGACATTCGAAAGTCAGCATAATAGAAAACTAATTCTTCCGGGTTATGCATCAGGGCATAACTTGCTTCAGATTTTAATTAGATCAAGATCGCCTTCTCCTCGGCAATCCGATATGTGGCGTCCATGTCAACAGGATTCGCGTCCAATGATTTCACGAAATTTTTAATCTCATTCATGATGGGTTACACACTTCCATTTGGATAAGCAAAACACAAAGTCAGCATTATTTCGAATATGGTCGATTATTGTAGAAATTTTTGCTTCCAACTGCGACGGCAAAGACCGAGCGGCAGGCAATGAACAAAGCGCACCAAAAATACCGTGATCGAGGAAACAACTGTCGATAGGGCGATCGACACCGAGAGAAACAAGGGCTGCTGAGTCCACATCTGACATCATAAATCGTTATAAGTGTTTAAAATTCATACTTTACATTTGAAAACATGGGCTCTAAAAAAATCATGAAAGATCGGTCTTCTGTGAAATCTGTTCATACATTTTGCACCATCTCATAATTATTTTTAGAAGTCTCTAATTTACCTACTTCCATTTTTCCAAGAAAACTGAAAAAAAATGTTCTCAATAATTTGGATTGAAATTTTTGTAATGAATTTTTAAATAGGTCAACTGGTTTTTTCAGTGTAGATTTTTTTCACGTTTTAAAATGAATTCTTTATCACATTTCGGTACAATAAATAGTTTTTTAGGTACGTAAGGTTTTTGATCTAATTCCCGTCCTACTAAGCACATCCTGCACTTTACCTCTCTTTTTTGAAAGGGTTTGAACAAAACATGGAATGTTTTCATCAAAGATAACTTCTAAATGTATTCACCTTTCCGTACGTACCGTTGGATTTGATAAAGAGTCAAACAATGTTGAGATATTATTAAAAATTTAACACTGATTATTGATTCTAAATTCGTCCTAAGAGTTTCAATTCCGTCCTAACGCAATGAAACGCCATTAGACCTTCTTCGTCCTACGGATAAAGGTAGAAAAAGGGGATGTGCTAGGAGCGCTTCTTTTGTTTTGAGAACAATGAGTGTAAATATTCATACAATACGCTGTAATAGGCTTCATGTTTTGGCTTATGAATTAACGGATCGGAACAAACATATTATTGGTTTGTGCATGGTGAAATCATTGATATTATTGATGATTTCTGCTCGATAGAACGGAAATGGGCGATTACGAAGTAGCGCTCTTACCTATTTTCAAAACATCGCCCATTTAAAATATGACGCTTGTGCTAAAATACTCTAATGGTGGTAAGCTTCAACCGGTGTTATCCTCGGATTGAATCCCGATCAGGCTTGCTTCCACTCACTTGCTATAAAAACATGATTTTCTGAATTTTGAAATCATTAGATGTTCTAATTATATTTTGTACTTGTTAAACACAAGAAGAGGTTGAAAGGCAAGTTTTTGACACATGAAACCTGTCAAATTTGCTTTCAGATAGTCATAATCAGCGATTTTACGACTCGCGAGCGCTCACTCTGAGTGAACGCTCACGAATCATAAGATCGCTGATTGTTACACTCTGGTAGTGAAATTGACAGGTTTTATGAGTCAAACACTTGCCTTTTAACCTGTTCTTGTATCTAACAAGTACAAAACAACATTATTACATCTAATGATTTTAAAATTCAGGAAATATTTTTTTTATAGCAAGTGAGTGGAAGCAACCCTGATCCCGATCAAGAATTTCTGGCTACTTCGATGTCGACATCGGAGTTAATCAACATGACTCTTAGTAAACACTTTGCAGATCATCCAATCAGGGACGGTATTAAAAGTTTTTCCGAGTTGGAGCTTACCGCCATAAATATATTAATATTTAGATTATATTCCTTACTGTCGCAAACATAGTCATAGTTTCATTTGAATCGGAAACCTTCGCGTCAGATTTAAGACTGTTCAGGAAGATTTCGCGTGGAACTGCTCTAATTAGATTGTGACATATCTTAGTAAAGACCCAAGCGCAATGACAGCGGAAGCGCCACTTCCGTTCCGCTTTCGCTGTCATTGCGCCTTGACCTTTACTGAGATATGTCATCTGCCCGAGCTGAGTAAGCCTACTTGTCGAATTGAAAACTAGTTAGAACCAAATCGACGTCTGTAAGGCTACTTGATGTCATTTGTGACAACTGTGAAGCTTTCCGTTTCCGTTCCGTTTCCGCCCACATTCCGTTTGGACATTAATGGTTTTGATGTTCAATCGTTTTTTCAATGCTTCGATGCTAGTGAGTGGTTTTCTAAATCAGTTCATCGTAATTATTAGGCAGAAAAGTTGGGAAGAACTTCCAGGAAAAAAATACCAAGAAACTCAATAAATCTAGAGACTCTATTTAACTACGTGTCAGTTTTCAGAGTCAGGCCAATCATTTTCATTTCATAAACCGCCAGTAATGATTCCTTCGTCAGGTCAATGGACGCATTTTCTTCCGCACCAAAAAGGCCTCGAAAACTTTTCATCCAGCAATCTGTATTCATTCGTGCCATTCTCGTCCACTTCTAAAAATAGATCTGAATTATCAACACACCTCCTTTCGTCGGTATGTACTTGCCCAAAATGTACGAACATAGATACAAACAATAAATCACCTCTTATACTGACTTGCAAAAAAAAACAACAACAACCATCAGCACGTGTCTGACAATCAGCAGGTTTTCTTGGAGTATCCGACTTGAGTAGGAATGTGTTCTGCGAATTGGTCGTGTGCGAAACTTGAATACTATAATTACCGAGACTTCGTACCACAGTCGTCAACGTAAATAGGCAGGTAAACCCGCTGATGCGTGCAGTTTTCGACAAGTTCGTCTTTCTCGGGTGAATGTGCCAGACTTAATACTTGACCACTTTAATCCGCACGATTATATATCTAACACTTGTATGTGTACATTTACAACGGGTGGTTTAAAAACATAAGCACATGTGTGACTGTTTGTTCTATGAATTTTTAAATGACCGCAGTCAGTTTTTGTCGACGTCGCTTCAGTTTTCAGTTATCAACGGGCAGTGAAAGTGCTGTAAAGTTGCATGCCTTCAACTAGAACTTAGCCGTAAGCGTAGAGAAATGTGTCGAACGACTTTCACCGTTCTTCAAAGGTGACCTCAGATTGATCGCAAAGTGTTCATCGTTTTCCACGGAAAAATAGTATATTAATCACTTCTCTTTGTCTCATCTCATTTGCAGCGAAATCTACTGCCATGGCAAGCTGCTCGATACGGTACAGATGGCGAGCATCTACGAGGACTCGAAGACCTTCGTCGACATGAAGATGAAGAAGACGCCCAATGAAACGTTGGCCGCGTTCAACGATTTCATGGAGCAGAAGAAGGAACAGCCCAACAAGCAGGAACTGCAGGAGTGGGTCGAGTCGATGTTCGAAAAGCCGGGTGCCGAATTCGAGGACTGGATCCCGGATGACTGGATCGAGAGCCCGCGTTTTCTGGAGAACGTCAAGGATTCCGATCTGCGGGGCTTTGCCAAGAAGCTGAACGGCATCTGGCACGAGCTGGGCCGCAAAATGATTGCGGATGTTGGTGTAAGTTGGAACTTGGTTGGGCTTCCATTCAGGTTTGATTAACTGACAAATATTTTTTTCGTTTCTGTGTTCCCACAGATCAATCCCGAACAGTATTCCATTATTCCCGTTGACCATCCAGTGATTGTACCAGGAGGTAGATTTAGGGAATTCTATTACTGGGATTCATACTGGATTGTACTGGGACTGCTCCATTCGGAAATGAATAAGGTAACTGCCAAATTGATACAAAATCTTCATAGCACGGTTCTAGCGTGTTCCTCTTTGATTGCAGACGACCCGTGGAATGTTGGAAAATTTCCTTTCCATTGTCCGGCGATACGGTTTCATCCCGAATGGTGGTCGCATCTACTACAGCATGCGATCGCAGCCTCCTCTACTGTGCGGAATGGTCAAGTCCTACGTGGATGCTACCAACGATACTCAATTTGCCATGGATTCCGTGGAGACACTGGAGCGAGAGTTTGAGTTTTTCATGAACAACTATATTGTGGAAGTGAACGGACACCAACTAGCGGCCTATGGATACAAATCGAACGGGCCACGGCCCGAGTCCTATCGCGAGGATGTGATCAGTGCTCGTGTATTCGATAAGGAAGACGACAAGCAGGATTACTATTGCGAATTGAAAGCAGCGGCTGAAAGTGGTATGGACTTCTCCAGCCGATGGTTCATCAAGGACGGAACGAACAAGGGTAATCTAACAGATCTGAAGTGCCGATCGATCATTGCCGTCGAATTAAATGCGATCCTTTACTGGAATGCGAAAATCATCTCGGAGTTCTATGCACTCAAGAATGACATCCGGAAGGCACAGATGTACGAAGCGAAAGCGGATGAAATCAAGAAAGCCGTTGATGCAGTATTATGGAACGAGGAAGAGGGTGCCTGGTTGGATTACGATCTGATCAACAAGAAACACCGGCACTACTTCGTTCCGACAAATCTGTCGCCGCTCTGGACGGGATGTTATGATAAGAATGACACTAGCCTACCGAAAAAGGTCCTGGCGTACATTGAAAAGATGGAGCTGGACACGTACCCGGGAGGTGTTCCAAACACGCTGGCCGATACGAACGAACAGTGGGACTTCCCGAACGTGTGGCCACCGATGCAGCACATGCTGATCGTGGGCCTCGACGGAATGGACAGTGCCGAAACGAAGGCGCTGGCATTCAAGTGGGCCCAGCGGTGGGTGCGTGGCAACTACCTGGCGTACAAGGATACGCGCGCCATGTTTGAGAAGGTAAGTGGAGGCTGACATTATTGGCTAGTAAGATCAAAAATAGGTGATATAGAAATGGACCTTCACATGATAAAATTTCAGAAGAATTCCCAGACATGATTCAAGGAATCGCAGGCGGTTTGTGAATATTTATGCACATTCACCCCAGTACTATGGGTCACCCACAATTAAGGTCCCCTTCCATTTGATTAACACGCAGAACTGACTGACCTATAATAGTGACAAGCTGGCCCATAATACTGGGGAGACTGTAACCTGAACTGCACATAAAAACATATCTGTACCATCTGGAAAAACACCGGACATTTACTCGTCCGTAGGCACTTATGGATGGGACAAGCTAATTTTGGTATTTTTCAAGATATTTTCTGAGCAAAACATTTAACATATACCTATAGACCAGCATTTCTCAGTGGTGGGTTGCAGAAATTGAGTGATTAATGTTCATAAAATTCCTGAAAAAAATATCTCAATTTTACTTTATTCAACCATTTAAATTGATCTACTAAATCAACCTTTAGGTTTAGTTTTGCTAGCTGCATTTTTAAACATTAAAAATTTGCAATAATTTAAAGACATTTTGAACTAAATCGATCGATGAATTCAAAATTTTCATCTACTAATTAAAATCACTTAACGGAATCACACTTTCTGATATATTTTGGCGTTGCATTATCATTTAGGGATTTCAAAACCCTTTTTGTGATTAATATGATGAATCTGGGCGTCTTAAAGGAATACCTGTGTAAAGAAAGGAGAGAAGGATTAGTAATTTCCATTTAATTCCACTATCTTTTTGGCTTATCCTTGACAGATACGCGTATTTCGTCTACAATGTGCAGAATTCTTCAGTGTCTTGTACTAATAGTCGTCTTGTACTAATAGTCGTATAGTACTAATAGTCGTCTTGTACTAATAGTCGTATAGTACTAATAGTCGTCTTGTACTAATAGTCGAGTATTAGTACAAGACACTGCACATTAGACTGGTGCTTAATTTGAAATCTTCGCTCCACGGTGCTCAAACGATTCCAAATCGCGTCTTGATTAGCCTCCCAAAATTTGAACTCATTTGGTAACAAACTGACTTGGCACAAACCATTTCAAGAACAAAATGTGAAAAGGGCATAAAGGCTTTTTATAAACAAACCTTCTTATGCCCTTTTCTCGCTACCCATATGACACCCACGCAAACCATCAACATCATCCGGTAGGGATAACTTTTCCCTTCCCGATGATGTTGTTGGTTTGCGTGGGCGACCCTCGGTTGGCGAGAAAAAGGCCTACAAAGGTTTGTTTACAAAAAGCTTGTATGCTCTTTTCACATTTTGTTCTTGAAATGGTTTGTGCCAAGTCAGTTTGTTACCAAATGAGTTCAAATTTTGGGAGGCTAATCAGGACGCAATTTGGAATCGTTTGAGCACCGTGGAGCGAAGATTTCAAATTAAGCACCAGTCTAATGGGCTCTTGATTTGAAGTTTAATTAGGAAAACTAAACTCTTTGTTCATTATCTTCTTGCCTTTTTCCATATTGCATTGATTAAAAGTTCTAAATCTATTCTTATGGAAAAAAATTTCAGCTACAAACCAGTAACGCTGGTAGATCACCTTTTCGTTATGCATTACTGGTATAAGATCTTCCTCCGAACCCTTAGTCCTGACAACTTCAAACTACCCTAGCAACACACTTGTCACTAAACAGTTTCGGTTACTTGTATGTAACTTATTTCAGTCATAATCAAGATGCAGCAACCTATTTTGATGGACGTGTGCTTTGATGGGCAGGGGAACAAGATTTTTCAGTAATTAATTGAACACATTTTAGTTCTTGTTACTTTTTATGCCTTGTTAATTATGACAACACTCGGAAAAATAGTCGCAATACTTGTTGAATTGTGAAGTTAATTTAAATCAAATTTAAAATTAAAATAAAAGATTCTTGAAAGTTAAGATTCTTTTGGATAAGCTTCACTGGGTAAATTGCTCAACGCTTATCTAGTATACTGTCGCACATGGCAAGTCCGTCCCATAGCACCAATTAGCAAGCCGAGAAAAAACGCGTTTTAAGTTTGTGTTGTACCCGTTTGACTGGTTTTCCAAACTTTTCCTTAACACTGTCATAGAAAAACTCAGTTTTGACAAAAACGCAAATGGGACCGACTTGCGATGAGCGACAGTATAGTGAAAGGTAAAAGCAGTTGTTTCTGATAGTTCTTAATGAACTCGGTGCAAGTTGCGTATTAAATTGACTTGTACCTTATAGTATTTTATAAAATTCTATATACGCGTCCCGGAAGAAAACTAATATACATATCATACTTGAACCATACATAACTCTTGTTCTTTACATTTTATCGAAAAGTGGTCTTCAACAAAGTTGTAGCTGAAGTGGAGCTGAAATTTACAACAAGCACAGTTATAATTTTTTGAAACAAAGTTATGTGGTGGATTTATAGTTATAAAGGGCGAACACGAAATTATTGCGACACCGAAAATGTCATGCCAATTTTCTTATAATGTTTAGAATCAAACCAAAATTTTAGGGTAGTTTTATACATATATTTACTTCAAAAATCAAAAGAAAAGTTAATCAATGGAGCCTTGAGTGTAAAATTGAACGCATTTTCGCTTGATGCCCTCCATCAAAGTCTTTACAGTGTCATCCGGTACCAGTTTCTCAGTTTTTTTTTTCCATTTTTATAACATGTCCTTCTCGTCTTTGACTGTCTTCTTGCTCTTCCGAAGTTCCCGCTTCATTATTGCCCAGTACTGCTCCACCAGGCGCAGCTCCGGACAGTTTGGCGGATTCATGTCCTTTGGAACAAAATGGACAGAATTGGCCTCATACCACTCCAGGACACTTTTAGAATAGTGGCATGATGCCAAATCTGGCCAAAATAGCGGAGCTTCGTCGTGCTGCTGCAAGAACGGCAAAAGGCGCTTCTCGAGGCACTCAGATTTGTAGATCTCGCCATTTACTGTGCCCTTTGTCACGAAAGGCTCACTCCTCAGTCCGCAAGAGCAGATGGCCTGCCAAATGAGATATTTGGAGGCGAACTTCGACATTTTTATCTTCTTAAATTTGTCGTCCACATCGAACTTGCTCTTGCCGGTGAAAAACTCCAACCCCGGAATTTGCTTAAAATCGGCTTTTATATACGTTTCGTCGTCCATCACACAGCAGCCATATTTTGTCAGCATCTTCTCGTAGAGCTTCCGTGCCCGAGTTTTAGCCGTCGATTGTTGCCGCTCATCGCGGTTTGGGAAGTTCTGTACCTTGTATGTATGTAGTCCAGCTCTCTTCTTTGCATTCTGGACGTAGCTCTGTGACATGCCGATCTTTTTAGCCAAATCACGGCTTGAGACGTTGGGATTTGCTTTAATCATCCGCTTCACCTTTCCCTCCGTCTTTTTGTTCTCCGGTCCCGGTTTTCTTCCAGCTCCTTTGCCGTGGTCCAACGTCAACCGCTCCTTAAAACGGCTTCAACACTCTGGAGACGGTTGAATGGTGAATGTTCAACATTTTTCCCAACTGCCGGTGCGACAGGTCAGGAAATTCCAGGTGTTTGGAAAGAATTTGTTCTCTCAACTCGCGTTGGTTCACCTCCATTTTCGTTGAATCGGAAAACACGACTTCGAGTTTGACAGCATGTACACAATACACATCAATGAGAAAGTGTGCAATATTCGGTTGATTTTTACCCAATGGTAAAAAAGTTATGCCCTGTTGAATGTGTCGCAATAATTTCGTGTTCGCCCTTTAGTTCGAGGGAATTTTTCGGGTTGGAAATTTACTCGACTTCACTGGGCATAGAGTATCATTGTGCTTGCCACACAATGTACGAATTTCATGCATAGGTATTGGCATCGAAAGCTCACAATTAATAACTGTGAAAGTGCATTAATAACACTAAGTTGAGAGCACGCAATTAGCTAATATGCGCTAAGCAATAAGCTTGAAATGCGAATAAGAAGAAGAAGATATATCAGACCTGCCCAACCACTACACTTGCTTTTTGAAATGGTTGTATCTTTGTTCGACGAACATGTTTCGAGCTACATTTTGTTTATTTCTCAGTCATTCTAGCATAGCATAGCATAAACCAGGTTGCACAGTGTCGTAGGTGGTACGAGCTCCAAACTGTTGTTAAAAAAGAGACCCACCTTCATCCGTTGCTGTTAGATAGTAATTTGTGATTAATTACTACCTCTTATATAAAGGATGTGTCTCCTTCCAACAGACCAGAGCTGTCCTGACCACGTGCTTACATCTGGTGGGGAAAGAGGAGGAATGTTAGTCCGACACTTACTTAAGAGAGATGCAGAGAGCTCTACGACCCCTCATAAGTGTCACGGGTAGGGTGGATTTTTGTTAGTAGGGAGGGTAAGCCATAGGATACGCCCAGCCGGCGTTGCTGGAAATCGTTATATCAAGCATTTAATAAATAGAAGCTGTAAGTAGTTTATCTGTCCGGTGTTGCTGCCCATTACCTAAACATATTATTCAAAACAGTCTTCCGATTTTGGAATTAAGAAACGTTATCAGCTAGATCCTCTTGCTCCTTTGCACCTGAAAATGTTTGTTGATCCTAAACATATGCACAATTCATTCTGATCGATAGGAGGTTCTCATATGTAAAAGGTTATTAATAGTATGTGAAATCGTAGATTAGAATGACGGTTCGCCCTTGGCCTAACTCTCACTGTCTGGCAGTGGCATTATGGATAAAATCTGCCTGCAATTATTTCTTATGAATACAAGAAGCTTGAACCCGGGAATTAGAAGGTGACAGCTCTACCGCAGCTACAATTGCCCATTTCAAGAACGCAAGCATTTCGAAGCTATTTTCACACATGATAAGCCCTGCTCCAATACATTATCGATGCAAATATACACCATTGATATTTCCTATCGAGGACAGAGGAACGAAAGAGTAAATAAACTTAGCTGAGCGTAGGTTAGAACAGTCGCTACCACATGCAACGGACAAGAATTTAAAAAATTTCACTTAATGCACTTCTCAACATCACTTCTGTAAATTTATAACATTATAACTAGAACGAAAACGACGCAGCAAAACAAAAACACGTCCTTTTAGCAGCGCGGCCTACTTCGATCGTCCATTTTGTTTATTTCTCAATCATTCTGGGCTAAAATTCATAATGAAGAATAAAATTAGACAAGAATGATATCATTGCTGAGATCCAGAGATCTTGGCAAGTTTTTCACTGATATCCAGCTAAATAAAATGCCGAGATGCTTTGTGGTGCCAATTTCGGCACTACCCAACAAACAAATCAAAGTCACAAATAAGCATACACATTGAATAAATGCTGTATAACAGTGTACAATGTTGAATAAAACAGGATGTCGAATTATGTGCTGAAAAAAGGTCATTGAGATAGATAGATGCGCCTTTATTCCACCGTTTGGTCTGATATGATTAATTTCCTTACTAAAAGCTTTATAAACGTTGACTGTCTTCCTTATTCAGAACCAGAAGTTTGATCTAATAACAAACTGAATAAGTGTAATTTGCAGATACATTGTCGCTTTAATTCGACTGTTTTCAATTTATTGAATAAAATGCTTTATTAAACGTCTTATAAATGTTTTCTAACTCCATTATTAGATGTCATTGCATTGCTTTACAATATTGCTGTATAAAGGTGAATACACTCAGCAAAACAGCTAACAGAATATATTCAAACTGTTCCTTACAGTAGTTCATAGAATTGTATTGTAATTGTAATTGTTCTCAGATATTCTTCTGAAGTACTAGTTGTTCAACATTTAGCAAATATAAAGTGCTTTAAAATTCTTAACCTTGATCTGCACTCTGTCATTTATCATGCGAATAGTCTGTTCAATACCGACGAAAAGGAATTTGTCCTTATTTTCCAACGTTTCCGTACATTTATATTATCATCACGAAGGTAACGATATTTTGTTGTTTATAAGTTGTATACCCATAATTCTCCTTACTTGCCAACGTAGCCCAACCTAATCGCCTTCCTTTCTTCCACTTACAGTACAGTGCAACCGAGCTAGGTGGCCACGGAGGTGGTGGCGAGTACGAGGTCCAAACCGGATTTGGCTGGTCCAACGGTGCAGTCATGGATCTGATGAACAAATATGGCGACCAGCTAACAACAGGTGCGATCGAATAAACCACCTCCTCTGTAGATGGGTGTCAATACGTATAGCGCGTGGTGTGCTGCAAGAATATTTCAATACTGCTACTACAACATCAAACTGTCTGCTCACCGCATCCTTCAACATTCAGCAACATTGTTTTTTAATCTTCGCTCTATACGAAGATACAGCAGTTTAATCCGATGTTTTAAAATCAGGAAACCATTGCAGTGGCTCATCATACCTCTACGTGTTTGTGTTTGTTTTGTTGATTGTTCGGGCAGAAATCACCTCCTCCATTCTGAAAATGTATTTCCCTACAATTGAGCTCCCTTCTCATGACAGTATGCTAAAATGTGTAATCATAAGAGAAGAAAGCATTTAACATAGATAAAGCGTGAAGTTAAACTGTAAAAATTACCACATACAACAGTTCGAAAGAGGCACACACACACATACACAAATAAATCATGAGACTTTCACAAGAACGATCACACAAATGACAGTTAAAGGAGGCACGATCGTTTGGAATGGAAGGGAGGATTTTAAAAGGAAAGAGTTCTGTTTAGCTCTTGTTTTAATACTGTATATTTATTTCACTATTATTTTATCGAAACGGTAGTCAACTTTCGCAGAAATGATTGTTTTACCAAGTTTTAACTAATGGCGAAGATATAAACAAACAAAAAATACACAACTGTTGAAAAGACATCACTCAGGAAGTGTTCCATCTTACCAACTCATTTTGCATCCCTGCATTCAAACTTGGCAGTAGGTGAACATATGTCTTTTAAACAGCTTTTATCAACGATGAGATCTTGTAGATTTTTTTTATTAGGTTTAGGATGTTCAGGTTTTCAGTGCAAAAGTGAAATTAGAGCTTCTGTTTTCTGCATTTTAAATTTGGGTTTAGTCTTGTTTTAGGTTAGGGACAATGCAACAACCATTGAATGCTATACAATACAGATGATTGTGGTTATTCGGTGAAATCAGCCAGCATGTGATAGATCAGAATTGACTAAGTATTTTTAGGAACCAATTTCTCTACTCGGTAGGATAGTGTCATAGGTTTACTGTAAGAGTTTTAAACCTACAGTTTAGGGTATCAAGCAAAGCATGAATCAATAAATATGCGTAACAGCATCCCATTAAAAATGAAACCGATTGAATTTGCGTGTGTACTTTCCATTCTATGGTGACGGGTGTCATTTCTCATTCTGATCGCTTAAAAATTCGAACATCTCCTACTTTTGTGTGAAAATGAGTTTCTTACAGCTTGGAGTATATTTGATTATCTGAACAAAATTGCTTTGGCGCTGGGTGTTCTGTCAAATCTTGTGGAAATGTTTCTCTGTCAAGTGTTCAGAATATCATCATCAATTCCTGCTTTCCAGTTCATTTAGTCTAAACTTGCATTGAAATAACTTTTTACTTATCACAATTGTCCTTTTCCTACTACAACAACAGATGACAGCAAGAACAATGGAGGTGCTCTGGTGTCGTATTCGGTAAACACAGGTATCATAGCAACGATAGTCGCTTTCGTTGTTGGAATATTTGGGTTAGGTAACTATTAACGCAACATTTTCAAATTGCCGATGATATACTGTAGCTGCGTCCTTTTCTTTTCCAGAAACAACTCGATAGAAATTTGTTCCGTAATCTAAACATAAGTGTGCCACTAAGAGCGATGAGCTGTAACTCGCAAGCATTCTTTTTGTGTCCAGAAGAAAGCGTGATATTAAAACCTAAATGTTTTATCTAGCATGATAGATCCGTGATAACACCAACTGTTGAACATTCCTCGTTTCATCGTTGAAACAAGTTTGGATTCACCAAATCGCACGTACATACATACACACAATGTTCTAACAATTGAGAAGAGATAACGCAAGCAATAATCAATATTTTGTGTCGTTGCAAAATATCGTCATAATTGTATCGTCAGTATTTCCTAAAATAATTGCTTTCCTTTTTATTTATTCTCTGAAAACAGCATATTCCGGCGATTTTTCGGTTGATAACACCACATTTAGTGTATATCTCCGCAAACAAAAGACTATTTTTATAATAAATTCGTATGAAAAAAAAAATTAGTGATTTATTCTTGATTTCAAAAGCCCTATTCATAGTTTTCCACCATGGGAAAATGTCAGTAAGAATCGCGGAAGCTAGCCTTGATTCGTAAACTTTGCTCTTTGAAGAGGTGGTAAAATTTCGTTTCAGAGACGCGCGGAGGGAATAAAAATAAATCTGGTGGCACGACTAAGGCTCTGCACGCTATTTCAAAACTACCCAAAGTCGATCTGATTCATGTCAATGTTGACCATTTGTCAACTTGTCAATCCAAACATAGTTTACCCATTATTCAGTTTTGACCGATCTGGGTAGATTCTACCCAAATTTGGGTAGTTTTGAAATAGCGTGTGAACCACTTGGTGGATTTTTTAGGCTTTGAAATGGTGGATTATTTAAACTTCTGGTTAAAATTTGACGGATGAAAAGGTATCGCTGCCATCCGAGCGTGGTTATTTCTGACAGACAAGAAGTTAAATTTTAACAATCGTGGCTTGAAAACCGCAACTTCGAAGTCGTAGCACTGCAGGAACTTTGCTGGACGGGACAAAAGGTATGGAAAAGTGGGCATAGAGCGGCTACTTTCTACCAGAGCTGTGGCACCACCAACGAGCTGGGAACCGGCTTTGTAGTGCTGGGTAAGATGCGGCAACGCGTGATTGGTTGGCAGCCGATCAACGCGAGGATGTGCAAGTTGGGGATTAAGGGCCGTTTCTTCAACTACAGCATCATCAACGTGCACTGCCCACACGAAGGGAGACCCGACGACGAGAAAGAAGCGTTCTATGCGCAGCTGGAGCAGGTGTACGACGGCTGTTCGCAGCGGGACGTCAAAATCGTCATCGCCGACATGAACGCTCAGGTAGGACGAGAGGCAATGTATAGACCGGCAATCGGGCCAAACAGCCTGCATGCCGTATCGAACGACAACGGCCAACGATGCGTGAACTTTGCAGCCTCCCGGGGTATGGTAGTTCGAAGTACCTTTTTCCCCCGCAAGGACACACAGAAAACCAAATCGATCACGCTCTAATCGACGGGAAATTCTTCTCCGACATTATCAACGTCCGCACGTACCGCAGTGCGAACATAGATTCGGACCACTACCTAGTTGCAGTATGCATGCGCTCAAAACTCTCGACGGTTCATAACACCCGTCGAAGTCGAACGCCGCGACCCAACATTCAGCAACTACGGGACGCCGGAGTTGTCCAGGACTACGCGCAGCAGCTGGAAGTTGCACTACCCACGGAAGAGCAGCTTGGCGCAGCTTCTCTTGAAGATGGCTGGAGGGACATCCGTTCAGCCATAGGTAGTACTGCTGCAGCGGCACTAGGTACTGCAATCCCGGACCGAAGAAATGACTGGTTTGACGGCGAATGCAAACTGTTAGTAGAGGAGAAGAATGCAGCACGGGCGAGAATGCTGCAACACCACACGAGATTGAATGTGGAGCGATACAGACAAGCGCGGAACAGACAAAACTCGGTTTTTCGAAGGAAGAAGCGTCAGCAGGAAGACCGAGATCGCGAGGCGATGGAAAATCTGTACCGCGTAAACGACACACGGAAGTTCTACGAGAAGCTAAATAGTTCACGCAAAGGCTACGTGCCGCAAGCCGATATGTGCAAGGACTTGGACGGTAACCTTCTCACGAACGAGTGTGAGGTGATTGAGAGGTGGAAGCAGTAATATGACGAGCACCTCAACGGTGAAGCAGCAGAAAACGAAGGTGGCACGGCAATAGACCTTGGAGCACGCGCAGAAGACGACAGGCTACCGGCCCCTGATCTTCAAGAAGTTGAGGAGGAGATCGGTCGGCTGAAGAACAACAAAGCAACTGGTGTAGATCAACTACCAAGTGAGCTATTAAAATACAGTGGTGAAGCACTGGCTAGAGCGCAGCACTGGGTAATTGCCAAGATTTGGGAGGGGGAAATATTACCGGAGGAGTGGATGGAAGGTGTAGTATGCCCAATCTACAAAAAGGGCGACAAGTTGGATTGCTGCAACTACCGCGCGATCACACTGCTGAGCGCCGCCTACAAGGTACTCTCCCAAATTCTACGCCGCCGTCTGTCACCATATGCAAGAGAGTTCGTGGGGCAATACCAGGCGGGATTCATGGGTGCCCGCGCTACCACGGACCAAATTTTCGCGATTCGGCAGGTTCTGCAGAAATGCCGCGAATACAACGTGCCCACACATCATTTGTTCATCGATTTCAAATCCGCATACGACACAATCGATCGAGATCAGCTATGGCAGATTATGCACGAGTACGGACTTCCGGATAAACTGACGCGATTGGTCAAGGCGACGATGGATCGAGTGATGTGCGTTATTCGAGTATCGGGGACACTCTCGAGTCCCTTTGAATCTCGAAGGGGGTTACGGCAGGGTGATGGACTTTCGTGTCTGCTGTTCAACATCGCGTTAGAAGGTATGATCAGAAGAGCTGGGATAGACACGAGTGGCACGATATTCAGGAAGTCCATCCAGCTCCTTGGCTTGGCCGCTGACATTGACATTATGACACGGAACTTTGAGATGATGGCGGAAACGTACATCAGACTGAAGGCTGAAGCTAGACGGATTGGACTTGCCATCAACGCATCAAAGACAAAATACATGAAAGGAAGAGGTTCTAGGGAAGACAATGTTAGCCTCCCACCCCGAGTTCAGATTGACGGTGACGAAATCGAGGTGGTCGATGAGTTCGTGTATTTGGGCTCACTGGTGACCGCCGAAAATGATACCAGCAGAGAAATTCAAAGATGCATTATGGCAGGGAATCGTGCCTACTTTGGACTCCGGAGTTCGCTCCGGTCGAATAAAATTCGCCGCCGCACGAAGTTGACTGTCTACAAGACGCTGATTAGACCGGTGGTCCTTTACGACCACGAGACCTGGACTATGCTCGTGGAGGACCAACGCGCCCTTGGTGTTTTCGAACGGAAGGTGTTGCGTACCATCTACGGTGGAGTGCAGATGGATGACGGAACGTGGAGGAGGCGAATGAACCACGAATTGCACCAGCTGCTGGGAGAACCATCCATCGTACACATTGCAAAAATTGGGCGACTACGGTGGGCTGGGCGCGTCGTAAGAATGCCGCACGACGACCCAGTGAAAATTGTTCTAGAAAGCGACCCACCAGGAACAAGAAGAAGAGGCGCGCAGCGGTCAAGGTGGATCGACCAAGTAGAAGGTGACCTGCGGACCCTTCGCAGGCTACGAGGCTGGCGAACTGTGGCCATTGATCGAGTAGAGTGGAGACGACTTCTTCGGACAGCAGAGGACAACAAGGCCTTAGCCTGATTGGCGGTGGCTTGAAAACCGGTCGATCGACAGCACGAGGATTTTCGAACATAGAAAATAACATTCGAAATGTCACTTTAAATCTCGAGTTAAATTCGACTCAGCAAATGGTTCACAGCCTAATACCAACAATCAATACGAAACTAACGATTTTAAATTGGCTCACCACTTTAGTAGCCTATTGGTCCCAAGCAAACGATTAACGTCCCCTATTCTAGTCGAAATTCTAGTACTACGCATTGTTTGTTTTGATTCGCTATGAAAGTTTGACATATAAAATGAGGGGTTATTGGTTTTACCTATATGTTTCGAGGGGTGATTCGACAAGCTTGGGACCGAAGATAGTACCAGAGGTGAGCCAAGAAGTTGAGCACGTTTCTTCGGGACCTACTTGTCTTAGAGTTACCTCTATGCTAATACCACAAACGAAGTGACAGACGGAGCGGCTCGAAAACTTTGGTGACTAACCTGCTATTTCAATTTTTCAGTGTACCACATGGCAACACCACTACTACTGGATTGTACCACATGGCAACACTACTATTAGATTGAACTAGCATTTTCACCAAATGTACTAGAATGTTTTGGTTCTATCTCATTCACTCTACTCAAAACTGAAATGCATAAAAAAATGACAAAATGATACGCACTCTTTGTACACTGTCAAAGAATCATTGTACACAAAATCAACTTTGTTCAAATCAAAACAAAAAAACTAACCCATCTGGTGGATGATGGCACAAGCTTCCAAGAAAATTCTATTACAGTGAACCACATTATTTTAATGGATTTCTTCGCCAGTATGTCGTCTGTAACTTCGTTTGTGCTAATACCACAGAGGTAACTCTAAGACCACTGGGTCCCGAAGAAAATCATTATTATTTTTGGCTCACTCAGTACCAGAACAACGGTCCCAAGCAGTCCCAAGCTATTTCACTCACCCCTGCATGTTCTGCATGAATCCACACACCCCTGATGTTATCTGTCAAACTTTCATAGCGAATCAAAATAAACATAGTGTAGTAATAGAATTTCAACTAGAATAGGGTACGTTAATCGTTTGCTTGGGACCAATAGGCTACTAAAGTGGTGAGCCAATTTAAAATCGTTAGTTTCGTATTGATTGTTGCTATTGGTCCCAAGCAAACGATTAACGTACCCTATTCTAGTCGAAATTCTAGTACTATGCAATGTTTGTTTTGATTCGCTATGAAAGTTTGACAGATAAAATGAGGGGTTATTGGTTTTTCCTATGTTTCGAGGGGTGATTCGACTAGCTTGGGACCGAAGATAGTACCAGAGCTGAGCCAAAAAGTTGAGCACGTTAGTTCGGGACCTTCTGGTCTTACACTGAGATAATTATTCCTACAAATTTCATAAACTACATCGTATGAACGTATGCAAATACGAGCCTGAATAAATTTCATAATTATCTTATGTTTTCATACTCCATCTATAGTATTCATAATTTGATACAACAAAAGGTATACGAAAAACATTAAAATTTCATAAACACATCGTATGAATTATTTTGGTTCAGCTTACGGCAAAAAATCATACGATGATCGTATGAAATTTATTTAAACAGTGCAAATCAAAACAACAACAAAACACAAGATGGCGGATCCAGCTTCAAGACGTGGCGCAAGGCTCCGTAAACCTGTAAGTAAATTTAGTTCGTATTGTTTCATTGTAGTTTACAACTTTATTTACATTTGTAGACAGTTAAGCAAGCTGCTGCGGACGGGTAAGTGTCAGATATATGTTTTGTTTTTGTGTTGATAATTTAATACAACAGTAAATTTTTTTGAACAGGAATCGGACACGAGTACAAACAAAACTACTCGCAAAATCGTAAGTATAAAGTTCTCAGTTGGCTCGTTATTTTTTACAGTACCGAAGGTAATCCAGCCCCGAGCTTAAAGCCTCCCTAATAAAGAAAACCTAACCTAACTTTACAATTTTTGTTTAAAGAAATTGGAACCACCATCAATATCCAAATCAGCTTTTCTTCCTGCCACAGCTTCAATAATTCAACTGGGATCTTCTATTCCAGCTGTGTTCAAGGCAACAGGGTTGACAGAAAATTACGCTAAAGTGCTGCAGAAAAGAAAGACACTGAAGTCCTTAGAAAATGTAGGGCAAAACAAACAACAAAATTTCTTAAAAAATTAAAACTAATCGGTTTCATTTTCAATCCTCAGCTACCACAAATTGACGAACTGGTAAACCGTTTAAAGCTTCTACTCCAGCTAGCAAAACTGTATCTATTGCTGCAGCTCCACCTTTCCCAATAGCATCAGGGTCGACGACAGTTACTACAGTTACAGAAAACACGAGCTGCCTCGGAGTCTCAATTTAATATATATAATATAATAAATATAATAAATAATTGCTTGGTTCAACGGCTTTCTCAGTCTTAATATCACTCTAAAGACTACGATTTAATCTGCCCGACGTTTCAGTCATAGGTTTTAGTTCATGTTCTATGGCCGAAACGTCGGACAGATTAAATCGTTGTCGTTAGAGTGAGATTAAGACTTAGAAAGCCGTTAAACTAAGCAAATCACTCAAGTACTAGTCGTCATCATCACTAATAAAGTAATTAATCAACTCAAACTATATTTTTCATTCATATCCTTTATGAGTTTCATACGAAATGACAAATGAAATTTTTCGTAATATCCTATGATAGCTATCGTTCGTTTAAATTGAGATTCATAGTTATATGCATGAAAAATCATACGATGGCTGATTGACAAAAAACTGACAGTTCTTCATAGTTCGGTCGTATGAAATTCAACATAAAATCTTGTCGCAAAAAATCATACGATATTTCTATGAAATTCGTTTGATTAATAATCTCAGTGTAGAGTTACCTCCATGGTATAAGTTAATTTGCAAGATTTGGCAATACGCAATTTTATGTTTTCTTTGAGACATTGAGACTTTGAGAACCGGCGCCGGTGGTGTAGTGGTAAACGTGACTGCTTTCTAACACCCCAATGGGTCTGGGTTCATCCCAGCCGAGGTCGGTGGGATTTTTCTGAGGCATAAAAATCTCTCGTCACGTCTTCCTTCGGAAGGGAAGTAAAGCCGTTGGTCCCGGCCCATGTGTGTTGAATGGGTGCGATATCCTACGCAGGTGTAGAAGCTGCCTTCCTGCACATTCTATTGACGGCAATCGATGTCCGTCGGTGATTGGCACTAGATTGCGGAACAGAGACCGACGTTAAATAAAGGAATGAAGAATGAAGAAAGAAAGAGACTTTGAGAGACTTTTGAGCGGCTGTTGTCTGCTTCAGCGTCACGGTAAAACCTAGGACAGGACATGTCAGCTCAGATATATAGGCCTTCGTGTAATGTATGTTCGAGTTCACATGAGTTGATACTAAAACCAACAAAAGCTTAAGGCTCAAGACACCGTCACTCAATTCGGATTCTTCTTGTTGTTGAAATTTACACAGGTACACGCTGGATTTAAGTAAAAACTCGGTAAAAACATTCGCATTTTATTGGTTCGCAGTTTCGGTTTTTGGCACATGATTTTGTGGTTTTAATGTTTTTAGTACGGTAACAATTTTTTGGCATTATAATCTCGTTTCGCTCAGTATTGCAATAAAATTCACATTCTACCAATATATTTATATAATGCTTCGATAGAATCACTGGATCGGTACGAAAAAGTAAACATGATAGATCAGTACTATATACAGATTAGTTCCTTTCAACTGGCAGCTGAGCGTTTTTTTTTTAGTTCAAATATATTCGATCGTTATATAAAAATTAAAATAAATGGCACATATTTCTCCCTACTACTTTCGGTAAATGACTCACACTAAATTGTGATGAAGAAATGTTCACAAACAAAACAAAATAATATAAAACTAGATTCGTTTAAATTTGTTGGAAGATATGAGAATGATGCTTCAAATAGGACTAGGGGTAACACAACACTTAGGCACTTTCAAAACTGGCATATCGGGCATTGCTAAAATGGCCCATTCTCTCACACGAAAGCATATTTCAATGACATTTGCCTGGTGCTATTGGATTCGTCTGCAGTAATAACCAAGTGTCTTGCATTTTTCACACAACAGCTGCGGATGGACCTTGGACTGGTCGGACACGTCCAGACCGTCGGGTTTCTCGAGAGGTCGCTGCAAAGAATGGGAATTCTAATGACTATTAAAAGCTGTGCATAAATCCGCAATTACAAACCTGCTTGTGTGGATAGACGTTGATGTGGCATTTGATGCACTCCTGACCATGATTAGCCCACGAATTACCGGACATCCACTTTCGTTTGCACTTTGGACATTTGTACTCGCCGAAGCAGCGCTTCTTTCCTTGGTACGGTGTCTTCCCCTCAGCTTTTGGACGGGCCTGTAAAAATCTTCAGCATAAAATTTCCTTCCATCAAACATCCATCGCAAAGATCAACTAACCTGAGGGCAGTCTCTAATGTAGTGGCCCTTCTTGAAGCACAAGTGACAAAGATAGTTGGCCGGAGGAATTTTGCTATACTTTTGGTTCTGCTGCGCGTTCAGCGGAAGCAATGGATGCTGCTGATGATGATGGTGTTGTTGCAAGTGATGCTGGTGATTCAGCGATCCACTACCATCCGAATAGCCACCGCCACCGTTCCCTATCATTCCATTTAGCCTGTTCCCTCCAATGCCACAATCGCCACCTCGAACGCCATCCCGTCCTCCGAATCCGTTCAGACATCCTAAGCCATTCGAATAACCATTACTGCCACCATTGGGGCTACCCAGCTGCTGAGGGGAGAGATTTTGATTCTGGCCAAGTCCGAATAGCGTTAGGTCGGTAAACTGGTCACACAGGTCGGTGATGCTATCGCCCAGTGGCGATAGGGAATCGTTGGTACCGTTGGAGTAACTCTGGGATGTGGGGAAGGGACTCCATAGTGTTTGGAATAGTTTCGAGTTTGGCTGGAATTTAAGAAAAATATGAAAAAAAAAAATTAGCTTAGCTGCATCACGTTTATGCTATGACTAAGGGAGCATCAATTAAGTAGGGCCACCCACATCGAATCCGGATCTGATGCGCTGCTGGAAAGTGACATACATTAATATATTGTCTAACCACAGAGAAACAGACATAACACTCGCAAGTTGTTCATCGAACAAGCATTTAACGGTAAATTTAAAAGTATCGTAGTTGGTAGTAGCGCCACCTGTGGCGCACAGAGTCAATTCCCTTACGTTTAACGTTTACACACTACCGCCATCTGTTCTGCGTACTACCCACCATAGTGTACTCAACAGATGGCGGTAAGGTTTTAGCGACGATGTTTTACAATGAGAAATATTCAATGTGTTATGTCTGTTTGTCTGTGGTCTAACTGTCAAATTTACGTCAACGCAGTGCAAGCGGATCTAATGTGGTCGGACCTTAAGGGCATCTTTAGCGGTGGTCTGATCTAGATCCAAATTTATGTCACATTTGAACCAGCTAAAATTAAAAGGATCAAGCCAAAATAGATCAAACTGTGTGCGTACGCACCGGTTGGTCTATTTTTGGCCGTTCTATTTCAAACGTCAAAACCCGAGTCAAAACCAACTCACACCCTGATTTTGTGGTCAGCCATTTTTTAATCTCGTACTCATTCGTACACGGTTTTTATCCGGCAATTACCGTGAAATTGACCTCCGATGGCTGCCTCCGGGATTGATGTGCGGCTTTAACAATAAGCCTTGAACTGCACGTCCTCCTGCTCCTCGTGAAATAGTAATAAAAACCTGTATTTATTGAAATTTGTCTAGTATGTTGTTGCGTGTTGGGTTTTCGCCCAAGTCAGAAACTGGACAATTCCCTGGGGGTACCCGGAACATACCATAATGTGGCCAATGTGGATCTGGACACTATATTTGACTTAAACTGATCTTGTTTTTTTTTTTTTTATTTCTGTGAGATTTGACACTTCACAGGGTTTGGACCATATCAGAAACTAGTCACTTCCCTAGGGGTTCCTGAAAGATGCTTGGAAGTAAGAAAGGTGGTCTTGGGCACATTATTTGACTTCCATTGATCTTGGTTTTGAAATCTAATGGGATTTGCTATGTGGCGCATGATGAGTTTTGGATTAAATCAGAAACTGGCCATTTCCTTGGAGGTGCCCGGAACATATCCGATAGGGGTCAACATGATTCTGTGCACTATATTTGACTACCATTGATATTGCTTTTGAAATCTAATGTGATTTGATGTGTCACATGATGTGTCACAAACGCACACAGTTTAATCTATTTTGGCTTGATTCTTTCAATTTTAGCTGGTTCAAATGTGACATAAATTTGGATCTAGATCAGACCACCGCTAAGGATGCCCTTAAAAAATTACATTTTAGAACTAGTCTAAAACAAAATATAGACCACCAGTGCAAGGTCTCGGTCTGGGTCTGTTCCAAAATTTTAGACCAAACCAACCAATTGGATCGCCGTTAAAGATGACCTAAGGTGGGTGAGAGGGGTGGGTTTACAAATGTGTGACAAACAACGCATTAGGTATAAGAAAAACGTGACAAAAGGGGGAAGGGGCGTTGATTTTTTTTGATTTATAATTTTTTTTTATCTTTATAAAGAAAAATTTCATTTACAGATACATTTTGAGAAAAAACGAACACAATTAATCATAGGCGTATCAAAGTGAAACCAAAAATCATAGTTACAAGGTATATAACTTTTTGTGTGTGTTATAGTCATAGTTATAGGTATGGATCCCAACCACTACACCGGACTCGTCCTCACTATATAACCGAAAACTTTAAGAAATTACACATATTTCAAAGACTAGAAATTTATTATGAAACATCCTGGATCTTTTTTTTTTTTAATCGAAATACACAATCAATATCTTAGCCATGTTTCAAAATTGATTAACGGTTTTTTTTATTTGTTTGTGATGAGTTATTAAGCTGAATTCCGTTGCAGCTATACCACAGACAAACATACATATAACGTTGAATATTTTTCTCTGTAAAACAACGTCACTAAAATACTACCGCCATCTATTGAGTACGCTGTGACGGGCAATACGTTCAACAGATGGCAATAGTGTCCAAACGTCAAACGCAATGGAAATGACTATGCGTGCAACAGGTGGTGGTACTACCAACTTAGAAACATTTAAATTTACCGTTAAATGTGTGTTTGATGAACAACTTGCGAGGATTAAGTCGGTTTGTCTGTGGCAATATCATTACGATGAATTTTCAATGACCACTTCATTATACTGAACTCTGCGCAATCCAGGACATTCCATCTGGAGTTCTACAAGGGAGTGGCGATGCGCTTTGTGAATACCATTATTATGTACACATTTGAATTTTCCAAATTTTCGAGATTCCAACAGCCGAGTAGCTGAGATTCAGTAAAACAATTGCCGAGGCTCAGCTAAAAAATAAGATTTTGCTGAGATATCAACTAACAAACAGATATTTTGCAGATATATCAGCAAAAGTAAGTGCCGAGGTAATCGGTTGTTATAGATTTTACCGAGCTAGATTAAGTGTGCAATGATATACACACAGACAAACAGACATAACACATTGAATATTTCTCACTGTAAAACATCGTCGCTAAAACATTACCGCCATCTGTTGAGTACACTGTGGTGGGCACTACACTGAACAGATGGCGGTAGTGTGTAAGCGTCAAACAAAAGGGAATTGACTATGCGCGCCACAGGTGGCGGTACTACCAACTACGATACTTTTAAATTGTCCGTTAAATGCTTGTTCGATGAACAACTTGCGAGTGTTATGTCTGTTTGTCTGTGATATACACGTTGAATTACCAACATACTCAACATTAATTGTGAGTTGTGTTGAATTCAACCCAACTCAAAGTCGCTTTGAGCTTAACTATGAAATCTTAGGAAGAAGTAGCGTATCGTATTTGCCTGCAAATATTTCTGGAAGATGTTGACATCAGTGCTGAGATTTGTCATTGTCATTGACAGACTTTCGAGCGATATTGACAAAACTGTTTTTCACATAGTCACTGACAGACTTGATCCTCAAAAAAACCTTCGTCAAAATCTCATTCATTTTTTCTTTAATGACAAAGATTCACCTGGTAACAAAATGTTTAATTTCGTGCGTTCTGAGTCACATTATTATTATCCAAGCAGACCAGGACGTACATGCTTGTTCACTTTAACGGCTCCATGTAACCAACCGGTGGAAACTAACGATTTTAAATTGGCTCACTACTTGAATAGCCTATTGGTCCCAAGCAAATCAATTAACGTACCCCATTCTAGTCGACATTCTAGTACACGGTAAGAAAGAAGTGCCCAACGGCCAGTTCACTTTTACCTACTTTTGACTAGTTTGTCTCATTTTCTCCTTCTAATGTTATCAAAAAAGAAGGAGCAAAACCACCCAACAGGGGTAGTAAAGTGTGGGAACCCAACGTTAGGTATAATAATATTTACCTACAGTTGGGTACAACTAACTTACTTTTGGTTAAAAAGCTAGTGGAAAATTCCATAAGAACTGCACACAAGTAAATGAAAATTACTTTGACCCGCTTTACCTACTTTTGGGTTCCTGCACTATAGTGCCGAGATGAGTGAAAATAACTTAATTTTGAGTACTTTTTTCTAACCGTGTATAACACAATGTTTGTTTTGATTCACTAGACCGCAAAATACTCAATAATGACTACAAAGTAAGCATTTTCGAGGGAAACTGAGACTACCCATTAAATAAGTAAAATTTTACCCATTTATGAGTAATAACAACTGCAAAAACAAGTAGTAAGTATTCATTTTTGAGTAACAAATACTCATAAATGGGTAACAATTTTACTCATTTTAGTCATTATTGGGTATTTTGTGGTTACAGTGTACGAAAGTTTGACAGATAAAATGAGGGGTTCGTGGATTTTCCTATGTTTCGAGGGGTGCATCGATTAGCTTGGAACCGAAGAGAGTACCAGAGCTGAGCCAAAAATTTGAACACGTTTCTTCGGGACCTGCTGGTCTTAGAGTTACCTCTATGATGTAACTGTGTTGCTCAGGTTATTTAATTTCGATACAAATTTAGTTAATAAAAAAATCTACAAATGTTCGTCACTGACAGCATTGTCATTGACTATTGACATGGTTTGCCTTGACGATGACTGTTAGCTCTAATGAATGACCAAAGCAGAATTGTCAATATTACTGTGTATCGTTGAGATTTTGCAGCACTGGTTGACGGGCTGCATAAGGAATTAATGAAAGTCAAATCGAGAAAAAAAAACATCCTTCCAATATAACCTTCGAATTTAATTCCGTTATTCCGATCAGACTGATGTGCATTTTTAATTTTCTAGATGGAGTTTTAAATACACGAAGCATTCATTTCATTTCACGACACTGTGCTACCAAAGATGAAACAGCTGCAAGAAAAAACTTTCTATTTTGGTGTCTTCTATTATGGTCCCTTTCATCTAATTCATACCGTATAACTATGGGAAATTTCCATACAAACAGACGGACACACATATTTTCTTCATTTTTGCTTCAATGTAAGATGTTGAATGGTTGTAATTATTAACTAAGCGATGAGGAACACATTTTGATGATTCACGAACAACTTTTGATAAGGGCTTAGTTGATCTTTCATGATAATATTTTCAGGTTTTTTTCTGTAACATTTTCTTACGGACAACATATTGTGAATTTTACAACATAGCTTCCATTTAAATGAATGCTTATATTCATTCTTCCTAGTTTATTTCAGTTTTTGTTTTTCCACAGCCGCAGTTTATGTTTTTCCACAGCCGCAGACAGTATATTGACCTTTCTGACGTTTATAACACGCACACTTCCGTAATCCTATTTTCGAAGTTTGTTAAGGCCCAAACGCAATGTGAACGGAAGCGGAACAGAAACGGAAAGTTTGAGAGTTGTCACAAATGACATCAAGAAGTCTAACTCG